GACAGGATTTGTAATTTTTTCTGTATAAATTAATAATTTCTATATACTTTGGAAACTCAAATGAAATATTTTAATACACTTTCCTCGAGCTCTTTTCTGCAGTTTTCCTGAAATTTTATGTGGGTCCGAGGTGTTATTTGAGTTTAATAGTGATTCTCTATGTTGCCATTAATTTGATTTGTTTGTGTGTGTGTGTGGGGGGGGGGGGGGAGGGGTGTGGGGGGGGGTGGGGGTGGGGAGGGGGGTTATTTTTATTCTTAACCTATTTAACGTTGGAGTTGAATCTTGTATCTTATTCCAAGAACTGAAGATTGATTGTGACATTTGGATGAAAGGTCAAGGTCATTAAAAACCACCACCTCTTTAACTTCTAACCTGTCAACCGAAATAAACTCTGAAAGGTGTTTCTAGATACATGTACATGTACTTCATGTTTCTTTTTACCCTTGGGTCAAGGACAAAGGTTAAGGTCGATTTCAAGTTCATAGGTCAAGGTGATTTTGGTAAATAGTTAATATCAACATTTTATTCAGGTTACCAGTGACCTTGACCTAAGTTTTAAGGTCAAGGGTAAAAAGATCTGCATGCTTCAGTATGTTACATGTCTTGACATTTAGAAGTTCTTAATTCTGCATGAACATCAAACACTCAAGTATACTGTCTCTTAATACATTGTGTGCGGTCGCATGTGCATGCACGTCCATGTATTTACTTTTGATAGTAGTATAATGTAGGCAATCATTATATCTATTCATATTTGAAATTTCACCCTGTATTATTGAGAACCAAGAAAGTTGTAGGCATTTAAAGTTTTAGCCAATCAGATTGCAGCACACGTGCATGTGCGTGCGTTCATGATTATTCTTATATATCATGCTGTAGATCTTCATAATGTAAGACTATGTTCAAATTTCAAAGGATTTTGTCAGAAAACAAAATAGATATTTAGACTTTAAGTTTCAGCCAATCGCAGCGAAGGGCACCTGCATGCGCGTGAGATCTTGCTATTTTGACCATGTCATCATGTCTATACTACTATTATATCCTTATATTATGAGTTTCAAAGCATTTCATCCAATATTTAAAAAGTTACGGCTAAATCTATTATATTGGTCATTTCACGTGTTACACGTGCGCGCACCTGCACGCACGTGCGCGCAAAATGACCTTCGTTCCGCACATCTACATAAGATACCTAGTGACCCTAAAAAGGTTTCACCTAGATCAGATGAGTAGTTTACGAGAACACTCGCGGACAAAAAAGTACCGGAGAACAAAGAAAAAATTCAGAAAAAGTAAAAACAATATGTTCCCAAACTTCGTTTGGGGAACATAACTAGATTATTTTTTAAGAACATTTAATTTGGAACATAACAGTGTATGAAAATAATCTAATTCAGCAAATGAACTGTGACTTACTGCAATTGGGTTTTGCTAATTTATTTTAACATAATCCGGCGTTTCTGACGCCATTTTGACGTTTATAATTTGAAATCTGTATCAACAAGACGTTTGTACTTTATTTCTGTTTGTGTATACGTCTTGATGATACAGACTAAAAGACTAAAATTTTTGAATTCTAAAGCCAGGACATTTTTGGAAATTAAAAAAAAAGTGCAGTCAGGTATTGTGATACTAAATAAGATGAATCAATCCGTAGATCGTCAGTGAATACAGCTGTGATACATCAGTGCACCGACGGATCATCCCACTACTACCGGTTACTCATCAAATTTTGAACATTTATTAAAAGCCTTGAACAAGAGGCCCAGGGGCTACATAGCTCACCTGAGAACTGAGGCTAGGAAAAAAGCAAAAATCAGTTTAGTATTTAAAAGCTTAAATGCATGAGTGGTCCCTTTGATCCCCCATTGTGGCCCCATCCTACCCCCTGGGGTCATGACTTGAACAAACAAATCTACACTACCAGAGGATGCTTCCAGATGAGTTTCATTTTCCATGGCCCAGTGGTTCTTGAGAAGATTTTTAAAGATTTTCCCTATATATTCCTATGTTACACTTTGACTCCTTATCATGGCCCCACCCTACCCCTTGCGGTCATGATATGAAAAAAACTTGAGTCTGAACTACCATAGGATGCTTCCACACAAGTTTCATCTTTACTGGCCCAGTGGTTCTAGAGAAGAAGAATTTTAAAGATTTTCTCTATGTTAAACTTTGACCTCCATAATGGCCCCACCCTACCCCTGGGGGTCATGATTTGAACAAGCTTAAATCTACACTAACAGAAGATGCTTCCACATGATTTTCATCTTTCCTGGCCCAGTGGTTCTTTAGAAGAAGAATTTTAGGGATTCCCTATGTATTCCTGATAAATTTTGACCCCCCTCCCAATGGCCCCACACTACCCCGGGGGGGGGGGGGGGGGGGTCATGATTTGAACCATGAATCTACACTACCTGAGGATGATTCTTCATGAGTTTCATCTTTCCTGGCCCAGTGGTTCTGGAGAAGAAGATTTTTAAAAGATGCCATTAATTTTTCTCTAATTCATAATTATCTCCCCTTAGAAGAAGGCATGACCCTTCATTTGAACAAACTTGAATCCCCTTCGCCCAAGGATACTTTGTGGCAAGTTTGGTTGAAATTGGCCCGATGGTTCTTGAGAAGAAGATGAAAATGTGAAAAGTTTACAACAACGACGACAACGACAGACAACGGACAAATTTTGATCTGAAAAGCTCACTTGAGCCTTTGGCTCAGGTGAGCTAAAAATAAATTTTATTATTAACTAATGTCTTTAATATAGGAGTCATCACCTAAAAATGTCAAATAATAGATATATGCAGCATACGATGCTGTGTGTTGAAGTTGGGGTCCTTTGATTTTCATGAATATCAAAAGAAATCACTGACAGGTACAAATTTTAAAGCTTTCCTAAACACCGAGCATAGGTTTGTTCAGAGTAAAGTTTTATATATAATGTGTATATTAGAGCACTTTACTTTATAGTGTGTAGAGCACCTAACTTTATGGTGTAAAAATTGAAAATTTTTATTTTGGCTATAAATATCATAATCCGCATCAAGATACTTATAACCGCATGTATAAAGGAAAAACTTTTCGTTGTCATGTTTTTTCTGTATGCCCATTGTTCAGATGATTGATCCGTCAGAAGATCCTTAACTTCTTGCAGATCAATTTAACGAACTGTAGGGTTGCAGAAAAACTAAATCGCTTGCCAAAAGTTAATTATTCCTTTTCATTAGTATCATGAAGCGGATTTATGATATATATAGCCAAAATAAAAATTTTCATTCTTTGCACTGTAATTTTTTATGTCCCATTTGGGATATTATATCCCAAACAGGCTATTATACCCCATTTGGGCGAGTGGTCCCAACCTGATCAGGTCCAGTACAATCTCTTGATTTAGCTATATAGCTTTAAATTGCTATATAGCTTTATTAAGCTATTTGGTATAGCTTAATTTAGCTATTTTAATATACTTTTTTCTCAAAGGTGTAATTTTCTCAGTATGTACAAAAAAGCGCACCTTGGTGCAGTGATGATATACAACTTTGAACTCTTCTTAAAATAATGCATGTAAAATCCACTCATCAAATTACGTCTCCTTGAGAGACTTTGTACTCAAAGTTCTACAAGTTTTGGGGCTTTATAAAGCAATTGATACAGTTACTTCTGCAATGATATTATAATGGAGACCAATTATGTTCGACAAGATAATTGATTGGTAACAGTTCAGCACAATGAGAAGCAATCATGCCTCAAGGCACCCAAGGTAGTGGACAGTTAGTCTAACAATCATAGTTGCCAACTCACCCGATTTCGTCGGGTCACACCCGATTTTTCAACCCGTAACCCGATTATTTTTTATGACCCGGCGGGTCATGCTTTTCACCCGATTTTTGTTGAACGACCCGAAAATATCCCGATTTCCGGATTTGGTTCGTAAATTAGGTTGCACTTTTAACTTCCAGTTACAACCCAAGCTTAGATCTACGTAAACAATGACGATGGATTAATTATCAGTGCAGGTGTAAACAATTAACTGGGTGTTGTTTTGACAAATCAATGTTTGAAGTCAATTAAAATGGCTTCCGATAGAACTAGATTGTTATCAGGGCCAGCAGGAACAAATTGAACCAAACACGTCTCTGACTGAACCAAGAAAAAGCGAAATAATATTTATGTACATATCAAGGAATCTTGGGGAAAAAAATTCAACTTCACATTTAATACATATTGCAGTAGTTAATAAATTAAAAGAGAGGAAAAATAACTTCAAGACTTACATTGGTATACTTTCAAATTTAACAGAAAACTGAAAAGGCTTTTTTTAAAAAAAAAAAAATTACACTTACTTAGTGAGGTCAATACTGAAATATTCAATTCTCATTTTTAACATGTAAATTTATTAATCAAATTATGTATGCATTTTTTGTCATTGTATTAATTAAAGCCTTTTTCAATAAAAGAATTCTCAATACATAATTAAATACTTTGTATATATATGTATAAAATTTAATCATGGTAAATATGTCGTGAATGTCGTTACGCGTTATGACCAGATTTTTTACTTTCCAAATCTGGTCATGACCAGATTTTTACATGCTGGAGGTTGGCAAGTATGCTAACAATAGAAATTCTCTTTTGCTTAAAAGTATTCAAAAGCTGCAAAGTTAAAACTATCTTTGATTTTGGTTGTTGTTTTGATAGCCCATAGTACAAATATGAAGAGTCAAATACATGCGACTTTTTGTTTATTTTCAGCAAAAAACATTTTTGTGAAAAACTGTATATAAATAGCTAAATAAAGCTATTTTGAATAGCTTAATAAAGCTATTTAGCTATTTAAAGCTATATAGCTAAATCAGGAGATTGTACTGGACCTGCTGATAATAGATCCCTTCAGTGCTGCACAGATATTTTTTTGCTTGCATGTAAAAAGCAGGATTTACAGCTTATATCTACATTTTTTCAAATTCAAGTAGTTATTAGAGTAATTACCAATTTACCAATCGATTTCCTTTTGTAAATTTGTTAGCTTTTCCATTGCCAGCATTGGGTCTTTAAATTTTTAAAAATGAGCACACATGCAATCATACTTTCCTGTGGGCAAGCGGTAAATCTAGTACTTGGAACGAAACGAGTGTCCCGGATTTTTTCTGTTGATGCACATATTCTTTTTAATTTTTAATGTTAATATCAAATTTGAATATGTATGAAAAGTTAAAAAAATACATACAGTGAGTTGAATGAGCATTAACCGAAAACGAACATCGATACAAGGTATGGGTATTAGTTTTACCACTTGCCGAAACAAATATGGCTGCGCCCATGAGTTGAGACATCAAATCTCAAGTTTTGACTATCACCATCCTCTCAATTTGTAAGTTGATTTTCATGGGATTCATATACCAAGTTGATTTTAAGTTGAATACATATTGATTTAAAAACATGGACAGAAACCTAAAAATGTTAAATATTTAATAAATTTTTGACAGTTCTCTAGTCAAGTAGTCTAACAGATTTGTTGAGTGTGACTAAAATGGGTAGCGAAACCCGGGCCGGGCCGGGAATTTCAAAACTGAGATCCGGGTTTTTAATACTTACGAGATAAATACTCATTCTTTCTTCATGAAATTTACAGACATAGTTTATAAGTATACGTTTTGCCTTCGCTGAGAATTTTAAGTCAAAATGTTTTGTTTTTCGATAATTATCGCCGATTGTCCTTTTCCAGGTGACTAAAATGGGTAGCGAGCCCGGTTTACTCATTTTGGCGATTTTAAGCTTAATGCATCGAAAGTGTTTGTGATATTTGCATTAAATGGTTGTTTATTAACTTCAAGAAGTTAAATTGTTCAATCATTATGAAATAAAATGTCAATTATGAGGGTTTTTGTCATTTTTCATAGACCCGGGACGGGTCAAAACCGGACGCGTTTGCCCGGGACAAATTATATAATTTCGGATTGCCAGAGAAAGAATGTAGATTTTTTTCAGTCCCTGACCGAGATACATCTAAGAAATAAATTGGAAAAAATTAATATAAATTTTCAAAGCAGAAAAGAGTCATTTAGATCAAATTATATGTCATTATCTGATAAGTATTTCGGAAATAAAAGGTTTTTCCCGGGTGAACGTATCCGGTTTTGACCAATCCCTGGTATACAAAAAATGCATGTATTTTCAATAATCGTAATTTATTATTGCAACAGTTAAATGTTTTAGGTAGTTTAAGTTCAATTTCAAAGATCCAAATGAAATAATTGTAAATGTGCTGCCGAAATTAAGTTTAAATCGCCCAAATGAGTAATCCGGGCTCGCTACCCATTTTAGTCACTTGGAAAAGGACAATCGGTGAAAATCATTTAAAAACACAACATTTTGACCTAAAACTTTCAGCGAAGGCCAATCCTAGAATAATAAACTATGTCGGTAAATTTCATGAAGAAAGAATGAGTATTTATTTCGAGATTATCAAAAACCCGGTTTTCGTTATCGATAATCCCGGCCCGGCCCGGGTTTCGCTACCCATTTTAGTCACACTCAGATTTGTTCTTACATCTGTACATTATCATAATAAGTTACAAAAAAATTAGGACTATAGGATTCAGTGGATTATTGGTTATCACACAATCACAATCCCGACCAGTAAGAAATCCAATCTTTGAGATAAATTTTTGGACCACACAAGCCCAAAAATTCGTTCATGTGTAGAGTCTAATCACTGAACACACGGGACTGGACAAAATTTTGTCAAAGTAAATGAATGATACAAAAATGCAGAATCAAGGAAAAATGATACTTCATGTGGTTTTTATGATATTCATTTGGTACGTATTTGAATTTGTGAGATATTTTTTTACTCACAATAAATTAACATTTTAATGACTCGATCGTCTCCACATCAGATGTGGAGACGAGACATTAAAATAATCAAAAGTGTTAAGCTCAAAACAACAAGACATCAGACATTCCAGTAGGTGTTAATAATGAGACAATTCAAACCTGAGGCACTGCACATCTGTCAGGTCTGACAGTCCAATTTCTTTCACATAAACTGAAACCTGAACTGAAACTGAAAATAAGAAACATGTATCTGCAATTCCTTTCTTTGTTACTGAACCATCCTTAGATAACTCAGGGGAGGACAATTTGATTCTGGAGGAAGGGGGTGGGGGGATAGGGGTAGAGATTTTGGAAATATTTCAGGGCTCTCGATTCTTTAAATCTGGGGCCGATATTCGGCCCCGTTCCCAATGCAAAAAAGGTACCTTTTTTCCCAAAAGAAAGGTGTAAATTTCCCAATTTCCATGGCAAAATATTAATTAAAAAATAAAAGTCCATGAAACAATCGCAAAAAAAAAAACAAACAAAAAACACTTGCAAATGAAAGTGAAACTGTACTACTAATTTATTAGTTCGCGCCAAATGCATTCATAAACTGGTTCGTGGAACCACTCCGAACCAGGTTATTGTTTTTACAAAAATGCACAGTGCATACTAACTTTGAGTGCAAAGTATCTTGCCATGCAGTTTCGACAAAAACATCATTTGGGTTTCAAAAATAGTCATTTCATTTAAACATTAGTAAGATGCACCTAGAAACATACCCACGCTTCGGCATGTTCAGTCTCGCACTGTATTGGTAAGCATAATTGTCCATGTGATCGAGGAAATTCGGGACTGTGTGACTAGCGACTGTCACTCAGAAAGACATATACATGTAACCGCAATATCAACACTCAAAGATGGTTATGACAAAGCTTATGTACTTTCATAAATAGCCTACGTACCCGTGTTTGTTCTGTTGAACTGTTTATTCAGAACCAGAGTTAAATTGATGACAAAATGCTAGAAAAGCAAAATTTGAGGATTTTTAAAATGAATTTAGGTTATACAACTTTTCCCAAAATGACGATAATTTTCCCAATTTGAACGGCCCCGGCCCCAGTCCCAAAAAGTGGTGTGATAGCCCTGTATTTCCAAGTAATCTGTCCTTGAAAATGCTAGTAATGATAATATACTAGTAGCCCTAAAAATGTTAGAATTAAGTAATCTGTCTTTGACTGGCAAAAAATAATATATGAATGGTACAATAGTGTTATGTATAACATGTCTAGTTTATACTAAGCATACAAGAATTTCTTTTTCATGACTCTTAAATGTCTTGGACTGATATTGTTCATATCTCAAAAAGTATTGTTTCTTACTTCTCAGGAATTTTGCCCTACTACAGTTGGTATGCCAGGAATTGGCTTCTTTACTCTTGAAATTTCCTTGGGGAGTCCTCCATATCCCCATTAGCAGGAAGGCACTGCCTCCCTCCCATCCCATTTACAACTTGACTAGAATTCATTGACATCTAGACAACTAATCCATAAAAATGACTAGCAGGAATTAAAGAAATGCTAGTCCTTTATACTACTAAAGTTTAAGCCAAATCCTGAATTATCTAATGTGCAGGGGAAATATGAAGCAATTCTATTGAACAGCTTGATTGGGTACTACGGGTAGATTTACTGGTTGCTAAAGTGCCTATTTTGGCAGCCCTTAAGAAAAATGAAAACCTCTGCATGATATGCCCAAGATCATCTAGGATGAACAAACTAGACACTTGGCTAGTGAAAATGATTAATCAGTACATTAAAATTTGCCAGTTTATTAATTAAGTTTGCCAATTTTTTTTCCGAATTCATTCCAGCTTTCCAACGCAATAGGACTAAGAAGGACCTGACAAAATGCGGAACCTGGAACTGTTGTCGTATAGGCACCTGGATGCTGGTCTGCATTTCAAGGATACACAGCGTATTTGTATTGACTACGATTCCGGTAACGTGTTTGCCGCATCACCAGTTGCCATTGCTGGGTTTTGTCAACAAACTGAACAAGTAGGTTATAATTCACCAGATACATGGAAAAGACAAAATAGGCTACATCCCATTTTTTCCTCCCAGAGTTCACATAGGAGACAAAACTTGCCAATTTCCAAACATTTATGTTTATTTCAATAATATTAATTTGATATTAATTTAAATATATAAAAAAGGTTCCCAATTTAGCCATACATTGTCCTTCACATATTTTGTTTAATACATAATTTTTTTAGGAACAAAAATTATTCCCAAAGAAGGTCATTGCAATGAAAAGGGATTTACCATGTTTACAAAATCTTTTTCTATACTGACTATAGATCATTGGAGTTGTAGACCTTAGTCAGTGCGATGAACTCCCACCAGATGGTGTTAATAGAATTGTGGGAATGGAATTCCTCCCTGATCAGCAGTCTGTTTGTGTTGCCATAGATACAGGAAGTGTTTTGCTCTGGAATGTATCATCAGGACAGGTGCACTAATGTTTATTTCTATCCACTACTTTAAAACCAGCATTTATTCATGACAACTTTTATTTGCTTCTCAGGTCTTCAGTTTGAAATTCATCCTTGTACAAATATTAGCAATTAAATCAATTAAATTAATTATTCTACATAAAAATACAATTTAATAAATTGAATTAATATTTCTTTTATTTTTTTTTTTTTAAAGTTAAACTTGTGAATATATTTCTCATATGCAAATAAATATTGGCGTGCCCTTTACTTCATACTGCAGCTTTTATTTGATTATTAGGTGGAGAGTGTTGGAGATGTGAGTAGTGGTATCAGAGCAATGTCCTGGAGTCCAGATCAAGAGCTTCTAGTCCTCGCTACAGGTAAATACATGCTGAAAACCAACTTTTATTCACGTGCAAGAAATACATGTGAGTTTCGTGACCCACTGTACCCAGGTTCGAAATTCACTATATATTACTCGCAAAATGCGAGTTAGAATATCTAATTTGCGAGTTAAAAACTTTGTAACTCGCAAATTTTTGCGAGTTGATTTTTTTTAGTGTAAATTTCATCCAGGTAAAAATCTATCTGACATCCCCAATTTTTAATCCCATGTCCGACGATCAGGCCTTAAAAACCGACCGATCCATTCAAATTACCACCGGTTTTTCTCTCCCAAATCAGTGTGGTTTGATCAATCAGCTGATTCCATTTATTAAAAAAAAATATTAG